GCTGCTGTGCCTGTCTCCACTGCCTGAGCCAGTGGGCCGAGCACACAGATATAAGCCTCTGTGCTTTGTGTTTGTACTTGCTGTAGACAGATCTTACCTCTGGCTGGCCTAATGCCAGGGTAGGGTTTGCCGGTTTGTGAACCAGGTGGGGCTGGCTGGGAGAAAGGTGCAGTAGGCTGTGTATCATGGAGGGGGTCCTTGGAGCTGTGTAGCCAGCCAGGGAGCTGGAGCACCTGAAGATCGCGAAAGCTCCCAGCCTGCTGGGCAGAGTGCACCTGGACAATTTTGTCTACCTGTCCTTTCTCCTGAGCAGTAAGCTCTGTGCAATCCTTGGCCCTTTAGCGGCCCTCTTACTAAGGGCTTCCTTGTTAGGAAGTCTCTCAGACTGCCCGCCTTTCTTTTGTCCCAGAGCAGCTGGATATGGATCCCTGCTTTCCACAAGTAGCTGGAATCTCAGTCTCTCCAGTAATTCTGCCTGTCTTAGCTTTCCAAGCCCCTAATCTCGAGAGTATCATGGAAGCACCGTGAAATGTAGGTTTGTGCTCCCAGAGCAGAGCTCTGGAGTTGGGTATTCAGCAGTCCCAGGCCTCCACTCCCTCCCTGCTCCATTTCTCTTCCTCCTGCTGGTGCGCTGGGGTGGGGGAGGGGCTTGGGTCCCACCGGGCCACAGCTTTGGTACGTTACCCTGTTCCGTGAGGTCTGCTCTTCTCTCCAGGTGTACGCAGTCTGGCCCAGTCCTCTTTTCTGTTGCTCTTTCAGGGTTCGTTGTATTAATCATATATTTGTATTATATGTGGTTTTAGGAGGAAGCCTCTGTCTCACCTCACTCGCCACCATCTTTGATCCCCCAGCTCTCTATCTCTCCTCACTTTTTCACTTGAGCAGTCTGGGCCATTCTGAGTTTGGCTCCTTTGTAGGGGGGTCTGTCCCCCTTCTCTCTGGATGTTTGGGGGCCTTCTCACGTCTGTGCTCTGCATATGGAGGGAGACAGGTGGGGGCTCTGAGAAGCTGTGGACTGGTGGCTCCTTCCTTCCCAAACTTTCAGACCATCGGTCCCAGGAGCTTGTGGCGATCGCCTGCGCCCCTTCCTGGTGCTCATGTTCCTGGACGTTGGCCCGTGTTGTCTGACTCTGATTCCTTCTGTTTCTCTTCTTCCTGCTCTTGTTCTCCTTTGTGGAGATTCCCTGCGACTTCACTTTTCGACCTTTTGCATGAGCTTCGGTTTCTGCTGTTTAGTGTTCAGTGCTCTCTCGTCCTCTCTGTGGCCCCTGTTCGAGGGTCCTGGTCCCACCACGTGCTGGGCATGGGCCCTTAGGCTCTTTTCTGCCCTGTTTGTGTTTTTGCTTTCCATCTTGGAGGTTCCCCTGGGATGTCTGTCCCCGTCTGTGCACTAATGGGGACAGGGCGCCGGCAGCACCTTGGAGGGTGGTCTGTGAGTCTGGGCATTGGGTTTGGGCTCCCCGTCTGTTTTTGTGGGACCCCACTCTGTCCTGGGTGCTGATTCTCCCCAGTCTTCACCGTTTCCTGGGGGGAGGGCCCAGTGTTGCTCCCCAGCAGGTATCTGGAGTCCCAGAGACCATTCTTCTCCTTCTCTGTCCCCAGACAGTGAATTTCTGGTTTCTGCTGGCCTTGGGTTTGGAGGCTGGCAGAAGGAACCCCCTGCTCTGAGTGTGGGTAGGGCCGGGGACTCACATTGCTCCGACATATGCCCCTTGTTGCTGCCCTGCTGAACCTACTGCACTCACTGGTACGGCTGGTGCATCACCGGCTTCTCCCTGCAGCTGGCCCTTCCCGTCATCTATTCCTGGACAGCCTCTCCTGATTGTCATCTTCTCCTTGTAGCTTGTCTTTATCCTGGAGAGTTGTGCTTTTACAAGTTCTCCTGCCACTAGGGGATTCAAGGGGGACACCTGTGGATGTGTTTCTCTCCATGTTTATCCGCCATCTTGATGGCAAGATGTTTATACCCACATACCAGCACCCCAAGGTACTTGCTAGAACTGACTGAGGGAATTTACTCTCCACTGTTTGTATGTTTCTTCTGGTCATTTCAAAATCCCCATAGGTCCCACCTGGGTGCTCTCATTAGCTTGTGGCCTGCAGGGTCACGAGGGTGCGGGCCTCTGGTCCTCAGCCATGGGGCTGTACTGCACGGAGGGCTTCCGGGTTGGTGCTGGGGCACCCGAGGCTCCGACACGTGCTGGCTAGTCATGCCCCTGAGATGTGTGGTCATTTCTGTTTTCCTGTTTTAATGAGCGCTCTAGGGAGTACTTGTTGATAGGCCCCCCTTTTGCCTTTGTTTATCTTGGAGCACTAAGGCTGTTGGTATACCTGTCAGTTTCCTAAAAGGCTGACTAGTTGCCACCCTCACAGGCAACAAACAGACGTCCCCTTTTCATCCATTTTCTAAGAGGGAAGTGGGGGGGTCGCAAGCTTGTAGTCCATGTGTGTCCCTTGTGTGTGTGCTTATGTACAGCATGTATAGCCTTTGACATCCTGCGGGTAACAGGTTGTCTTGTGTCTTCTGCCCCTTTGGCCGTGAGGGGACTGCCCATGTTTTCTTAAGGATTTGTATGATTCTATTCAGTCCTTAACTGCAGCCCCCAGCTGGGCAAAGCATGCATTGGAGCCCAGCTCCCCTGGGTCTGTGGCCCTGGCATGCTCACTGCCCTGTCCCTTCCTGTCCCTGCAGGACCGCACCCTCAGGCTCTGGGAGTTCCCACATGGCCGGGAGTTGCACTGCTGTCACCTGACCAGCCTGCAGGGGCCTGTGGAGCCGTGGGGCAACCAGGTAATGTCTCACTTTGTCTCAGGTTTGCTTGGACCCTGTGGGAATCATCTTTGCTCTCAGTGAGGACTTATTTTAGCTTGGGAGAAATCATGCTTTAAATTCGGAAGGTGCCTCATCATGTAAGTGGGAAATAATTTTATCTTTCCATGTTTTCCTTTGAACAGCAATTTCCAGAATGACCTCTATGCCTGCTGGGAAACAGAAAAAGTAGTGGTGCTTGAGCAAGTGCCTAGGGTTTCTCAGCAGGGTGGGGGCCAAGTGCCCAGCCAGCCTTCTCTCCCTTTGTCCGTCCTAGACCCCCACCCCCAGTGACACACTGTGTCCCCAGGCCAGGTCACCTGGGCTTTGAGTTGTGGAAGAGATTGACAGATGTGAAGGTGTGAGCTGCCTTTGGGGTGCCTGGGCTTCTCTGCTAATGGGCACCTGGCTCCGATGTGCCTGGGCTGGTGCCCTGTGTGGCTGGGGTCCTGGTCAGTCACATGTGGATGCCCCCACCAGCTTCCCAGAGGCCGGCCCGGGCCTGGTGGGGAGGGGTGGTCTGTTAGAATTGTGCAGGCCTGCAGAGTGGCCTGCAGGTGGGTTTCTTGATGATCAGGATGCCCTTCAGCCCTCTGCCCTGGCGTGTTGGAGCTACATGTGAAATGGAGTCAGCCATCGTCTTCTTTCCCCCTCACTGATCTCTAGAAGGCCCCAGTGCTGCCTCTGTCCTTCTCTGACTGCGTGTTAGCTCTCAGGACAGAATAGCCACGTGGGGTCCCTGACAGGCTCATGTGCGTAAGTTGCTGCCTTCCTTTCAGAGGTTTGCTGCGTCCAGGATCGCTTACTGGAGCCAGGAGAACTGCGTGGCACTTCTGTGTGACTGGTGAGCTTATGCGGTGACTGCTGATTCTGGTCCTGCAGGCGCGTAAGCAAGGGAATGAACGCCTGGTCCCTGGCCCCACAGGCTGCCTCCTTAGCCCGCGGTTGATTGGTACAGCTCCCGAGTCTCTCTGTGGGGGTTGCTGCCATGTGAGGGTGTGGGTTCCTCGTTACCATGGCATTTACTTTTCATCCACTAACACAGAGGGTGGCAGGGCCTCTGACTGGTCTGTGCATGGTAGCCTCGCTCATAAGAGATAAAAGTGGGAGAACCCCCCTCAGTCAGCCCCATGGGGGAGATGGTCACAACAGCACCCTCTGAGAGCCCACTGGGAGCTGGTTTTTGCTCCGTATAGTTAAAATTCTGGTATTGGATCACGTGCTCTTAGAAACGTCATGTCGTGGAATGGCTCTGTTCTCTCTGCTGTTCCCTTTTGTCCTGTGTTCTCTGTTGCTGTGTAACAAGTTACCCCAGATGTTAGTGACTTGAACTTGCATTAGCTCACGGGTTCTGTGGCTCTTTGACTTAGAAGTGGCTCAGGGAGGTGCTTCAGGCTGTCTTGTGGGGCTGCAGCCAAGCTGTTGGTGAGGCTGTGTCTGCAGGGCAGGCCCGGGGCTGGGTGCTTAGCTGCTTTGTGCCCAGCATAGGGGTCGTGGTGATTTTCCTCTCTCTCTTCTTGGGAAGTGTTCCTGTGGTCTGCATCTTCCGGCTTGATGCCCCCACACGGCAGCTGGTGTACACACAGCAGCTGTCTTTCCAGCACAGAGTGTGGGACGTTGCTTTCGAGGAAGGCCAGGGGCTATGGGTCCTGCAAGACTGCCGAGAAGCCCCCTTGGTGCTCTGCAGACCTGTGGACGGCCAGTGGCAGGTGAGACCAGCTGGGCTCTTGCTGCCTCTGCACCTGGGTGGGTTGGGTGACAGCTGTGACCCTTCCAGCTTGACCAGGTCCTGGTGCCAGGGGCTGTGTCCTGGCGGGCAGTGGCTGGAGGGAGACATGAAGGGGCTGGGGGCCTAGCCAGCTTGTTGGTGTCCTGTTTGCAGTGGTTTTTGGTGGGGACACAGAATTACCGCCACCAGGTGCTCCCTGTCAGCATGTTGGTCACATCTTTTCAGCAGAGAAGCCGCCATTGGTGTGGCTTGGTGTGTCCCTAGTCTGCAGGCCTGCGCTTGGGGCCGTGGTCCTACCGGACTTGAGAGCACCCGGTGACGGGGAGGCTGTGTGCCGTGGGCCTCCTGTGGGTTGACTTCCCATCTGCAAAGGGCTGCCCCGCGTCCAGCAGGACTGCTGTGGGGAGGCTCGGCGAAGCGCACCAAGCCCTTTACAAGGGCTCACAGACGCTCATGTGCCTGAGTGCCTTAGCGATGCCCTGAACCCTTCAGGTATTATTACCAGGTAGCAGTGAACAGGATGCTTGTGGGGTCTGCCAGCTCTGTAGGTGAGGTTAGTTGTGGGGAGCCAGCTCGTAAAATGCTGGCAGCCCTGGCATCACGGGCTTCTCCATGATGAGATGTCGGGACTGCCAGCTTCCCTGGCCTCTCCATGTGCTTGGCGGGCAGCGAGCCTCTCCCTCAGCCAGCGGCCCTGCCCACACCTGGCCGCTCTGCCCGTGATGCAGTCCCGCCTCTCTGATAAGGGCCCCCTGTCTTCTCAGTGTGTCGGGGAAAGCTCTGCTGTGAAGAGAGTCTCCACCGAGCTCCGTGGGCACTGGGCCATGCTGGAGGGTGAGAGCGCGAGCGTGGCTGGCTTTCCTGGAGGGTGTCCAAGCTGGCTGTGGACAGGAGCAGGGCACGGAATGTCATCCACATTCGGGAGGCGTTTTGTGAGTGAGGATCTGGGCTGGGCGGGGCACGTGTCCCCATCTAGAAGGCAGGCAGCTGCTTGGGGGCCAGGAGGTGACCCCCACCCAGGCAGGGAAGCTAGGGATGAGTTACCTGTGTGTGGGGGACAGTGCAGCAGTGTCCTGCCGCCCACCTCTGGGCTGTCGTAGCAAGTCCCTGGGGTGGGAGAGGGTGGTACCTGGTGGGGCTCGCAGCCGGAGTGCTGGCCTGGCTCACAGTCCCCGGCTGTTGGTGTTGACTCCACAGGTGTGAGCAGTTCTGAGGTCAGACTTGAGGGCAGTCAACAGAGGCTGAGGGTCTTCAGGGCAGGTCCCGGTGGGAGCACCCGGCTGGGGGAGGGGTTGGGGCCAGTGGTAAGCAGGGTGGCTGTCCTTGTGGAGATGCATTCAGCGAAGAGGGCGGAGAGGCACAGTCTTGCCTAGTGGGAGGCGGCGGTGAGTGCCGAGTGCAGCTGCTCCGACAGTCCCGACAGGGTGTTCGAACCAGGGGGCTGCCCCATTGGGATCGGTAGAAGGCGGCAGTCCTTACTTACACAGCTTCTGGTCCTTATGTCACACTTCTCTTGGGCAAAGACTTGAAGTGACAGTGTCTGAGGGCAATTTATGAACAGCATTGGAATTCAGGTGCCTTCGTTGGAATAAAGAAGTTGTTGCCCACAAGACATCTTGTAAAGACAAACTTCCCTCCAGTGGAAGTCGGTTCTGTGGAGCTCTAGTCAGATGTGAATCAGTTCCGTTCTCGCTGGCAGCAGTGGGAACTGCTCCTGGTGACTTGTGGGGCCTGTGTCCCAGAGTGGCCTCCTCCCTCTGGGGCTGGAGGAGGGGCAGCGGCAGGGCCATGTGCTCTCGGCACTGTTTGCATTTGCCCGGCAGCGCTGTCTAAGTGGAAGGGCTCCCTGTGGAGTTCAGGGGAAGCAGCACTGATGCGTCTGGCCTGGGCCTGGCACCTGCTGTCCTCGCCCAGCCCCTGGAGTCAGCATGTCCTGCTGCAGATCACCTCATGCTGGGCCAGGCCCGAGCCGTGCTTGGTTCTCCTACGAGGTCCTGTGGTAAAGCAGCCTTTCAGTGTGGATGTGGGGGAAGCGCTGCAGCAGGGAGCACAGGGGAGGAAGGTGAGCTGACAGAAGGGTGAAAGTCACAGAGGAGCTAGGAGGTCACGCAGGGTGCGGGGCAGGTGGGGGTCATGCAGGGGCCACGGCATGCACTTGACTGCCAGGGTGACGTGGTCTCGGTGGGGCTGGTCTGTGGCTCATCGTGCTCTCCAGCCTGTGATGCTTGCAGTGGCCTGTACCAGTTACCTTGCTGCCTAGCAAGCTGTCTCGGCCTTGGTGGGTTAAAACGACACCCACTGCTTCTGCAGGTCCTGCAGCTCAGCTTCTCCCGGGCTGCAGTTCTCAGGGTCAGCAAGGCAGGGTCTGCTTCCCACACAGAAGTTGTTGGCAGGACGCAGGTCACCACAGGCTGGTGACAGGACCTCGCTGCCTGACTGGCTGATGCTGGATGCTGGCCTGTGCCTTGCACGAGGGCCTCTCCGTTGGGAAGTGCACAGCCTGGCCGGGGCTTCACCAGCTCGAGTGCACAAGGGAGCAAGTGCCCACAGGGAACGAGCTGTGGCCTCGGAACCTCATCTTCCCATGACAGCCGACGTGTGTGTTGGTTGGAAGTGAGTCCCAGGCCCAGTTGGCGTGGCTGCCAGGAGGCGGGCCTAGCAGGGGACATTTTGGAGAAGGCACCACAGGTCCACTGCACACACCAGGTGCCCACTGAGTTAGTTCCCTGCTGCCGGAGGGCCTTGCATTGCAGGCCCACTGTGTCCCACCACTGGAGGCAGGGTCCCAGTCACTTGCCCACTGGCACCTGTTTTTGTCTCTCCCATACAGGCTGTGCTGGCACAGACGATGGCTTCAGTGGTCTGTACAAGGCCAGCTTTGACAACATGACCCCCTACCTGCAGAGGAAGGAGCAGCGGCTGACGCAGCAGCGCCGGAAGAGCCCACCGCCCGGGCCCAACACACGGACCAAGAGGGTGAAGAAGGAGGGGGCGCCCTTGAGGGGCTCGTCCTAGTGCGGTGGTGGCTCTCCCAGCCCGCTCGTCCCTGGCTCCCCCTGTTAGGTCCCCACCAGCCCAGCGGCCAGCCAGGTGGCCAGATTATGTTGGTATCTTGGGCTCTGGAACTTCCTGTCACCGGGCAGAGCCTGTCCTGCCTGGCGTCTGAGCACCCTTGCTGAGGGACACTGGGCAGCGCTGACTAGAGCTGCTCAGGTGTGTAGCTCGGTGCCCGAAGGCCTCATCTTTGTACTTCAGGCAGTGCTGTGCCAGCTGTGGGTTATGTAGGTACTGCTCCGCTGGGCCACCCGTGCCAGCTGCATCTTCCTTGAGGGGAAACCTATGAAAAGACGTTATCACAGCAGCAAGAACATTTGTTATTTTGTCTGTCATCCCCTGGATGGTACACCGTGCTCTCCAACATGGTGGCCACTCACCACGTGGGCTATGGAAACCTAAGTGGAACGCTAGGCATCCCTAATTGAAGAGCAGAGTTGCTGCCCTGAGCTCCATCCCTGCGTGGCAGATGGCGCCCGTTGGAAGCGCAGCGGCAGCAGAGTGCTCGGTTGGACGGCGCTGGCCGAGCAGTGGACTTGTTCAGGGTGCTTGGGAACGTAGGAGCCTGGGCCTTCCTCACAGAAATGACTGAAGACATTGTGTACATGTATTATTTTGATTTGAACTCCTTGCACATGCTGCAGAGTGTAGGGGTGCCAGATGAATTCTAATCACTGATCAATAAAGAACTTCGGCAGCTTCTGGAAATGTTCAGCAACATGTGGAGCTAACTACAAAATATATTGAGCAAAACCGTTTTTGATGAGTTGTAGTTTATGCCTGGACGATTTATTTACTTTTTGGTTTAAGAAACGTTTTGATGGTTAGGCTCCGAGGGATGTCTGCTGGTTGCTCAGTCCTGCCCTTCCCGCTTCCCATGATTGCTCTCAGATCAGGAAAACTGAGCGTGTCCGTGTTGACCTTGATGGATTCCATGGGGTGCTTAGAAACCAGATGATTTGTGTATAAAAAGCCAAAATGCTTCAGATTTTCCCCAGTTGCCTTAAATTGATCTGAAAACAGTGCTGTTTGCAGGCTGGTCAGGACCACAGCCCGGGCCAGGCGTGGGGCTGGGCAGACATAGTTCAAGAGCAGAGGGGGTGTGCCTGGGATGGAAACAATGCCTGGCCAGAGTCCTCGTGCTTGTGCGTTCCTTGTGCGTTCGGCGTGTGAGGAGCCTGACCTCATTAGCGTTGCCCTGGGCACAGGGAGTGTTGCCAATAATCTGCTGTGAAATTCTCAGATTTTGGAGAAGCTTGTTGGTGTCTTGGCTTAAGAAGGGTCAGCAGACTCGTCTGCAGATCAGATCCTGCCCACTGCCCCTCTGGCCTATGGGCTAAGAATGGTTTTCATATTTTTAAATGGTTGGAAAAAAATAGTACTGCATGTGAAAACCACATGCAATTTCAATCCTGTTCGTTGAGGCCTGGTGTCTGCTCTCTGCTACGGACAGTGGGGTGGCTGCCACTGGGCCGCAGGGCCTGCAGGACTAAAGTAGTCATTTTCTGGCGCATCTCAGAAAGGTGGCCTGTCCTGTGTGGTTTTAAAATGAACTGGCTACATTTCTTTGGAAAACAACAAAACCCTGTTACTCTGTGTTCATGTTGACCTTTGTCACCGCACATTCATTGTGCTCCTGGGGTGGGTGTCGGTCAGGGTCCTCCACGGAGAAGCCCCGGCTGGCAGGGGCGGAGCTGAGCGTGTGTAAGGCGGGTGGGTCCTCCTGCCCCCGAGTGGGAGACTCAGACCTGTCCGAGTACAGTGGTGTTGAGCCAGCTGTTGGGGCAGAGCAGTGTCAGGAGGGACCGTGGTGACCGACTGCCTGTCTTTCAAGTGGTAGCTTTTCACTCTTCCCGAGGCTTCCAGCACATATGACAGACCGAGTGCACTGAGGGGCTGATGGTGGCTGGCATTCCCCATGCCTCCTCCCGGGGCTGTGGTGGTCTCTCCTCCCTTGGATTCACCTCCCCGTGTCTAACCGTCCTGATACCACGGCTGTGCCGGTGTGGTGGAAGGGCTCGTGCTCCACTGGTGCGTCTGCTCCCCTAACGCCTGAGGACACACTGACCTTGGCTTTGGCCGGTGGGAGTCCCAGCAGCAGGTGTGGGGGAGGTGAGGGCGTACAGCACCCCTTTCTTCCCCAGCATCCTTCCTGAGTGGCTGCACCCCTCCCCACTCCTCAGGGCTGAATGGCTTCCTCTTCGGTCCCAAGACCTTGTCCAGGTTTCTAGAATTAGTTCCTCCATTAAAGGCCCTTAGCAATCCCAGGTGAACGTGAGCCATATTCTGGGGGGACCTTCTTTCTCAGTTGGTTGATTGGGCCTCAGACCTGTGGCACCCCACCTGCTGTATTTAAAGGGCGTCATGCCTCAGCTGGAATGGCAGCACGCCCCGTTGCCTTCCGACACCGCCTCGGTGAGAAGCCCGGCCCCCTGCCGGCCTGACTCCCCACCTTCTCTGTCCAGTTCTGTCTGCTGACCCCACTGCTGGAGCCTCACCACACAGCTCTTCAGTGTTATTTATCTCTAATTTTTCATTCTTGTTTAGTTCTATATGACTTACTTTGGGGGAGGTCCTTGGGCTTTGTTCCAGCTCATCTATTGTCTTAAAACTGGTCATCGTATTTCTTGACTGAGCACTTCCTTGTTCGTTCTGGTTCCAGTGGTGTAGAGCTGGGACTGCCCCGATGGGAGGTTCACCAACTGAAGGTGGGAGCATCCCCCAGAAGCAGGACACTGCCAAAAGCTGAGGGCTCCATGCGGCCATACACCCTGTCCCCACAAGGCCAAGCCGACTGACCCCCAAGGGCCGAGCCCCCAGCACATTTGTTTGCTCTCTGTTGTTTCTGGTTCCTTTCCTTCAACTTCTTTGGTGAGATTCATCTACATTGTTGCCTGTGATTATAGATTGTTCATTCCCATTGCTACACAGTGGTCCCCTGTGAAAATACCAGTGTATCCAATCTGTCCAATGGCATATGAATAGTTTACAAATTTCAGCTGTGATGAACATTCTGGCCCCGTTTGGAACATAATGTAAAGGTTCCTGTTGGGTGGACTGGACTTGCTGGTTGTCTTGTGTTTACAACATACTGCCTATCCTTGTTAATTCAGCAGAACCAAAAATTCTGTGCATTCTCAATACTCAGCATTTAGGTTGTTACAGTGTTTAACTGCAAAGGCACAAACTTGGAGTTTCCAGCCTCTGTGTGGGAGACACTGAAGCTGCCCACCTAGTGTTCAGAGTTAAACTTGTTCTTGGCAAAGTCAGCTTTAAAAAAACTTGGGTCACCGACTCTGGGGTCTGCCAGCCACAAGGTCATGAAGGCCCTCAGCCAGCCTGCAAAGAGGTCAGTGTGGCAAGGAACTGAGGCCTCCTGCCAACAGCCAGCCTTGACTCCCCAGCTCGACTCCCTGCCAGGGGAAGCTGTCTTGGAAGAGCTGCTTTCCCGAGCAAACAGCGTGGTGGATGGCCCTGCATCACCGTGACCCAAATCCCAGATGTGTTGACATGAGCTTTTCTTTCTAATTTATTTCTCTTGGGCTTTCTTTGATTTGTGGATTTGGAAGTGCGGTCTTGGTGAGGGACCTCTTCATCATGAACTGTCTCTTTTTCCTTTGGTTTGAAATAGATTATCTGATGTTAATTAGCCCCTCCAACTTCCTTTTGATTAGTGCCAGCATGGCATTTTTTTCATCCCTTTAACATATCTATATTTATATTTAAAGTGGGTTGTTGTAGACAAGCATCTTTTTTATCCCCCAGATTTTGGATTTCAATAGAAATAGAACCTGAGCCACATAATGTAATTCAACAATTTCCAGTAGTCAGTTTGAAGTTTTTAAAACGTGAATTAATTTTGAGAATGTAGTTCATTTAACCCAATACTGCAAAGAGTATTTCAGCAGAAAGTCCATATAAAAGTTATTCTTGAACCGTTTTGCATTCTGTTTTTAATCCTGAGTTTAGGAATCTGGCATGTAAATTAGACCCTCGCACTTCTCTAATTCGATTCTCTGCGTTTTGTGCTCCGCAGCCACACGAGACAAATGGTACTCACACTGGTGTGTCAGGGCCGCTTGCGTGTAGTGTCGCCCTCCGTCCTGTGGCTCAGCTGTCACCTTGTCATCCGTTCTCACTTTGTCCCATGATACTTAATCCTTCTCCCCTCTTTCCCAACTTGCTTTGGGTGAATTGATAGGTTTTTAATATTCTACTTATTCAATAGTGTCTTTTTTCTTTTTTTTGATTTCACGACTTTAACTCATCACTGCCTTTGATGTCACAGGCCTCCCGTACCGCGCACGAGCTGACCTGCCCTCTATCCCCCTCCTTTGTGCCCTTCTGTTCCTTTGTTCATGCTGTTGGAGTTGTGCTGGTGTGAGGGGAGCCTGAGGCTGCCAGCCTTAGAAGGGCCTGCTGGCTAGAGTGGCCCATCTGGCAGCTGAACTGGCAGGCAGCTGCCTAGACCGACAGAAATGCCACCGCATGGAGGTGGCCCCAGTGCTGAAACCGCACGTGCAGTGTGGCTTGTGCAGCCACTGCCCTCCTTCTGGGCCTCGCGTTCTCGTCCGTGCCAGGTAGAGGTCCACGTGATTAGCTCGCGGGGAGAACCCTGGGCGCCTGTCTGATGAGCTGCTCTGGCTGCAACACGCCACACTTGTCAGCGCTCGGTGCTGGAACTAAGCGCGTCCTGTGTCTGTGGGGGATGGCTCCAAAGCCAGGCCTGTGCCCCGGCTCCGGCTCTGGCACCTTTTCCCTGTGCTGCCTGTCAGTGTGTCCTTGCGCTGTAGTGACTCCCAGCCATGGGTAGGACAGTGTGATGGCCCCTTGAGTCCCAGCAAGTCCCCGAACCTGGGGTGGTCTTGGGCAGTCACACATTTAGTTCTATTTATGTTTCAAACCTACAGTACATGGTAATCACTTTTGCTTTATACCCACCCTGTTCCATGCGGCAGGTGCTATTCACTTGCACCTGTTTAAGTTGAAAGAATTACAAAAATTTAAAATTCAGTTTCTCAGTCACATTACCCAAATTTCCAGTGCTTAACAGCCAAATGTGGCCAGTGTCTAGCATATTGGGCTGCACAGATGGAGAATATTTCTGTTGCTCCAGGAAGTTCTGGTGGACAGCAGTGTTTTAGAATCCTGTGGCTTCTAAAGAGATTAAAATTGAGAAAAACATTTGTGTTTTCCCACACATTACCATTTCCAGTCCTGTTCAAGCCTTTGTGTAGATCCAAATTTGTGTGTAGTACATACCATTTTTCTTCTGAACTTTAACCCTCCTTGTGCTGCAGGCCACCTGGTCATGATCCCCTCAGGGTTTTTTTCCCCCCTAAAAGTATTTCATCTTGACTTTAAAAACCCTTTTGAGATTATTGTGCATTAACACATGGTTGTTAGAATAATACCAAGAAGTCCCGTATTTCTTCACCCAGTACAATGTTACAGCCAGGAAACTAACAGGTAGGAGCTATGTCCTTGTGTACTCACTGGTGTGTGACTCCGGTTCTGTACTGTGTTTTCACGTGTATGGATTCGTGTGACCACCATGGTCAAGGTACAGGACAGATGTTCCCACCATAGGGGGTCCTTCGTGCTGCCCCCCTGCAGCCACAGTGCCCCCTCGGCCTCCCTCCTCCCCTGCCCAACCTCTGGCAACCACCATGTCCTCTGTCTCTGTCATTTTCTCATTTCAGAAAGCGACCTATGTGGGACCAGACAGTATGTAAGCTTTGGAAGCTGGCTTCGCCAG